TTTGATGTTGGTGTGTGTGAAAGTAGTGTGTATGTGAACGTGTGTGAAAAAATGAAAATAAAAGGCCGTGGGACTTGAAAATGCGACGATTCGGCCAAATAAAGTTCAAAAAGGGTTTTGGATGAAAAAATAGAGTCGCCACTTGGTACGGAGTTAGGGTGTACCAAGTCACCCAAAAAATGATTTTGTTTTGTTTTTGAAAGAAAAAGTAAACAAACCCTTTTGAAGAACTTTTAGGTCTACGTAACCAAAGAAAGGGATCGGGGGTCACATTTGATAAGGGAGAAGGCAAAGGCAAAGCCTAAGGCACTCCCTTACCCTAGCCAAAGCTAGTTGCGTGACTTAGCTCCATTTTTCCTAATTTTTCTACCCAAGGTATGTATCGCATGTTGGATATGACTAATGGATGCGAAAAGGAAAGAAAAATGCAATCCTAAATCTAAAATGTTTCTCATGAGGCTTTTAGGTCCCAACCTCATGAATTGTGGTGGCCAATGAGGAAAGTTCTCATGGAAGTCGTGATTAATGCAAGTGAGGACTCAAGTGCAAGTGTGCAAATGTGAGAAAATAAAGGTGTTTGTGTGTGCAAATGAATGAAAAATAGAATAGTAGATACATATAAGTGTAATTTTGAGTGCCATTTGTGAGGTTGAAAATAAATGAGAGATAGGAAAAAGGTGGTGAGAAAATGGATTTAGAAAAATCTAAGTAGTGAGAAAACGTGGCTAAAAGAGTGTGAATGTGATATAAAAAGAATGCAAGTGTATGATCCTAAGGGAATGCATCAAGTCGGGTACGGGAAGGACTCCTAACTTTACGACTTTGATTTTCCCTTGGATTAGAAGGAAGAACTAGCGTGCTAAGGCTATTTTGTAGCCACACTCGCTCGTTTCCCTTATCGAAAGGAGACTCTCAAGCAAATGTACCCTATAACTAGCATGAGATGCAAAAACCTAAAAATGAGGGGAAAAGGGGTTCGAGGAGCATGCCAAATGATAAAAAACTAAGAAAAATGTATGAAATGTAGTGAACATGCAGGTATGCACTAACGAAAAGGAAATCCCTAAGGGTCTAGCGTTGGACTAGCCCTTTCTATGAATTCCTAACGGAATAATGAGCCACAACTAGCTTTGGACTAGTGTGGTGAAGTACATTCATCCATCACATTCATCTACGACTATAGAAAGCAAGTAAACATGCCAAACACTCATAAACACATAGCACATAACACTTAGCATGCTCGACTAGATGCAAGAGCCTAATAAAGCAAATTAACACATAGCAACAAAAGTAAGCAATCAAGCTAATGAACCTATTACATTTGCTAGCTAGGCACGCGTCTTCAATAGGTCTTCATCAAGTGCTCTCCAAGCCCTATCTATTACAAGCCAAGAGGTGTACACATACCCCATAAATAAAAGAATGACTTAATAAAAGCAAAAGTAAATGAAATGAATTAAGGAAAAACAAGGAAAGCAAGTAAAGTAAGCATGCAATTCTCACTTAGCACGTTGGATCACATAGGGGAGAGACAAAAAAGATAAAAGAAGTTATACCTCCCTTGAAATGGAGCTCTAGTGGGGTGAAATACTTATTTACCCTCCAAAATAATAAAAGAGTCAAGGCATCACTTTATTTATCAAATAATCATAAAAAATAAAATGGCAAACTTGAAATTGAATCAATTGAATCATGTAAGCAACCCACATTCAAGAAGTCAAAAGAAGAAAGGACTTGATTGCACAAATTAACAAAGTTTGGAGGTCAAAATTAAAGAAAAATAAAGTTCAGGGACCTATTTGCAATTAATTTAAGGACCCAATTGACAGCATTGAAAGTTTGTAGGGCCCTAGTGAAATTAAAGAAAAGTACAGGGGCTGATCTGCAAATTCGTTCTCTGGTTTCTCAATGGATCAAGCCACTGGGCTATTTTATTTGTTTGTTTGGGCCAGAAACCATCTTAACCCAACCGTGACCCAAGCAAAACAGACGGGCTAGTCTATCTTAGGTTCAAGCAAAATCCAACTAAAACATATGGGCTTTATCCCTCAGCCCATTTCAACAACCCAGAAAAACAAATCATTAATTCCTTTGTCAAACCCAAACAACAAATTCAAACCAAAACCTTTGAATTGTAACCTTCCAAAGCCCAACAAGAAACCCAACAAATATTATTACCCAAAAACCCAAACTATACTAAACCCAACAAGATTAACAAATCAATTAAAATTAGCAAGTCATCATTATGATCTAAAAACAAGAATTAATCTAGCTAAAAGACTACTTATGCATATTAAGAGTTTGATTAAAATCTAAAAGGGAGAAACAAGCTCACTTTTCCAATTTTTGGGGTCGCATCAAAACAGGAGGGGACTTGAGGGGTTCAAATGCCACAAAAGCAGGGACCCAATTGAATGAATTACAGCAGTTTGGGGGGGGGTAAAATTATGACTTTCAGCAACCCTTAGGTAAATCGCAGAACAAAGCAAAAACAGATGGACTGAAACTGACATTTTAGACCAACGGCTTTCTCCCCCAATAGCACAGACATCAATCCGCCATTTCTGTCGCTCTTAGAACCATAACAACACCAAAATTCTAGCCCTTCTTAATCAAAACAGAAAACACCCAAAACTCTTCTCATATGACATTAATTTGAATTCATACAATCCGGGAAACATGAGAAACAGAGAAATGGAAGACGACAATCCATCCAAATTTCTTAAACGTAAAGAAACGAATCGGCCACTCAACCAGCTTCTTTACACGAAAATGTAAACAAAACCTCTGTCAACAAGAATTTTCAACTCAGGCATTTTGTCGAGTATATTGGGGGCATTAAAAAGTTCAACGAATCTTTGCTCAATTTCTATTACAACCGGTCCCAAAATCATCAGAAAAAACAAGGAATTCAGCCCCAGAAACACAGAAAACATATGCGAACAAAAATTACAGACCATCAATAAGACAATTGCAACCTCAAATCCCACGGCAGACACGCGCTGAGAGCTTAAACAGAACCAAAATTTTAAAGGAAAAGGACAGCTTACTTGCTCCTGCTTTGTGAAATTATTTTCAGGTGGTGGTGGGAAGTTCCGGTGATGGCAGCGTGTTTCCCAATTGGCTCGCGAGTCAGTCATCAGGTGATCATGGACCACCATTGATGTCGCCCGAAAATGAATCGGAAGCCTTGGTCGCAGTGGATTTGTACGAAGGGGAGAGAGAGGGGTTGGGGAAATTTGCGCGCTGGGCAGATGCTAGCAAACAGTAGCAGTAGCGAATGAGGACTAGATGGTGGCGGCGCTAGAGATGGTTTCCGGTCCTCCCTCCTCTATCCGTTGCTCCTAGACCCAGCCTTACCTTTTCTCTTTGTTCCTCCTGTCTCAGCCGTTGTGTTGCTGCTGCCGTTGCTTTTCTTGTTTCCATTTCACCTTTGGCCGAAGCATTCCTAGACCTCTCTCGATTTCCCTCTTGTCCGCCGCTTTTTTCTTCCTCTGTTTTTCTCTTTTGTTGCTGCCTGCCGAAGCTTTTGCCTCTGCTTTTCTTTTGCTCCTTCAACCCACAGTCTCTCAGCCGCCACCCGTTGCTTTTTCATCAGCCGTCCACCTTTTTTCTTCTCCAATCGAAGCTCTCCTCATCCGTCCGCCTCTGTTTTCTGGTTCCTAATTCTCTTGATTGCCTTCAACCCCCATTTTTCAGTCCGTCCGTCTCTCTTCTTTCTTTTCTTTTTTTTTTGTTTTTTTTCTCTTTTTTCTAGCGTCCCACGAAGCCTCCTATCTAATTGTCCCCTTTCTTTTGTTTTCGGCTCTTTTGCCTTTAAAGGCCCCCCAAAACACTAAACCCTAAACCTAATATCAAAGGCCAAGATCTCCTCCTCAAAAATAGGTTCATGTGTCTTGTTTTTGTCCTTTGAATGATTTTTCTTTTTTTTTTCTTCTTTCTCTTTTCCCTTTTTTTTTTTAAAAAAAAAACCTAGAATCGAAACAAACAAAAATAAAATTAAATGATAAAATGATTAAATGATAAAAATGACTTAAAAATAAAAGACTAAATTAAATGAAATGAATCAAAAATAAGAATACTAGTAAACAAAAATACCTTAAAATTTGGTGTCTACAGCAGTAATGCTACTTACCAACTTATCAAGCACATTCCAAGACGTGTCACTACACAACAAAACGAGGTTCTGATAGGGGAGGTGTTATTGGATGATGTTAAAGCTGCGGTCTTTGGGCTGGATGGGGACAGTGCTGCTGGTGTAGATGGGTTTTCAGGGTGCTTTTTTTGCCATTGTTGGGACCTTGTCGCCCTTGATGTCTTCAATGCAGTCTGGGAATTCTTGATTTGGGTGTCCATCCCCAAAGCCATTGTCAACACACTCATTGTGCTTATCCCAAAAAAGGAGGCATGCTCTTCCTTTGCTAACTTCAGACCAAAAAGCCTGTGCACTTTCATCAACAAGATCTTCACCAAAGTGCCAAGCAACTGGTTAAAGCCTCTACTACCCTCGCTGGTCTTGCAGGAGCAGTCAACTTTCGTCCAAGGCTGCGAAATCTCATATAACATACTCCTCGCATAAGAGTTGGTGTGCTCATTGGATAAAAGAGGTGCGGGGACGCAACGTTATTTTCAAGTTGGACATGACGAAGGCTTTCGACAGGGTCTCTTGGCCCTTCTTGGCCATGTTGATGTCAAAGCTCGATTTTCATTCCCACTTTACTGCCCTTGCCATGCATAATTTGGCAGTTAGCTAGTTCTCATTGCTGATCAATGGGAAACAGTGTGGATTTTTCCAGGCCTCAAGGGGGATCAAATAGGGAGACCCGCTTTCACCATTTTTGTTCATCCTCGCATCAGAGGCTCTAAGCATAGACCTCAATCATCTAATAGCGACAGGCTTGATGGCTAGCTACGGGCTGCCCCGGGGATGCCTAAGCATCTCTCACTTAAGTTTTGCGGGTGATATTATGATATTCACTAGGGCGAACAGGAGGTCGGTCATGGGACTCATGGACTTCCTGACCCTCTACGAGAAGGGCTCAGGCCAAAAGGTTAATTTGGCAAAGAGTTTCTTCATCCTCTCGAAGAAAAGCCCTCGGGGTCGGGCAAGACATGTTTCTTCTTTAACAGGTTTGAATAGGAGACGCCTTCCGATAGACTACTTGTGGTGCACGCTTTTCAAAGGCCGGTCCAAGGGGATCTATTTCCAACCTTTTGTAGCAAAGGTTTCCCAGCGCCTTGCTGGGTGGCAGAGCAAGCTCTTAACAGCAAGTGGACGACTTATAATTATTAAGCACGTTCTAGCTGCAATGCCTCTACATACTATGGCCATCTTGGCCCCTTTTAAGTTGACCCTGAAAACACTAAAGAAATTGATGGCTCGTTTCTTCTTGGCAATTTGGATGGAGTACAGAGGAGGCACTGGCTCTCATGAGATAAATTATGTTACCCAGTGGAGGAAAATGGCCTTGGGTTCCAACGGCTTGATGACGTATGCATGGCCTTCAATTGCAAGCTTTGGTGGAAATTTCGATCCCATGTGACCCTCTGGTCCAATTTTTTTGGCTTCCAAGTACGTCAAACAATTTGACCATGCCTTCACGATATTGCAGCAAACGGACCCATGGATTTGGCGAAGAATGCTTGGTACACGGGACGTTGTAGAAGGTAACTCCCGTATACTGGTTCGGGATGGCTCGTCGTCATTTTGGTACGACAATTGGCTCGGCAATGGCCCTTTGGTAGCATCCTTGATGGCTGTCCCTTCCCCTTAGGCTTGCATCTCCAATTTCTTCGATAATGGGGGCTGGAATTTTGAAGCACTTGAACCGAACACCCCCTGCCTAGCAAGCAAAGATTCAACAACTCTCATTGCACCCCTACATGAAGGATGAGCTTGTGTGGTCTCCTATAGCCTCTAATCACTTCTCCCTCTCGTCGGCCTACGATGTTATCTGATGCTGGAGACCGCCAATGGTATCACGGCACTATTTTTGGAACCTACGAATCCCACTGTGCATTTAAATATTCATGTGGTGGCTTTTCAACAATGCGATTCCCCTGCCTGATATTCTCCAAAGCTTAGAATTCAACATGCCCTCAAAATGCCCTTTCTATCCCAACTGCGAGACACTGGACCATTTATTCTCCTTGTGCCCTCTTGCTGATGAACTTTGGTCTTTCTTTGAGCGGCTTCTATTTCATGGTCTAAGAATGATGACATTCTAGCTCGTCTGTAGGGCCTATGGTCTCACTCTACTGAGTCGTCCACGAGAGGCTGCTTTTCACAGGTTCTGCCCGCCGTTGTTTGTTGGGAAATCTGGAAAGCTTGGAACCTCCACTTCTTTGAAGGTATAATCACCTTGGCTGCTCAGCCCCGTCGTCTCATCATGATGAACGTGCACGCTATCATGCGTGCCTGGCCCCCGCCAAGCAAGAATTCAGACGCTGGTCTTCTGACCACGGGCTTGATTCCTTTCCTTGCCCCACGAAGGCCCTGTTCAAAACAAACCTTTTTTTGGCAAGCACCCCCGTTCCCACTAACGAAACTAAACATGGACGGGTCCTCACTGGGCAACCCCAGGCTCTCCGGTGGGAGAGGTATCCTTTGGGATTATTCAGGGCATGTGCTAGCGGCTTTTTCTACTTTCTTTGGACATTGCACAAGCTTAGAAGCAGAGCACGGGCACTGTTATAAGGGCTTCTTAACTACCAGGCACACGGTTGTTCCTAGGTTTGGATAGAAATGGACTCCAAAGTATTGTTGGATGAGATTAGGGTGAAAGCAAAATGCCCGTGGCGCATTGATAATATTGTCTGCCAGGTCTAGTCAATCTCCCAGGCCGGGCATTTTCACTCTCTTCACGAGTTCCGACAAGTCAACGCGGTAGCGGACGCACTCGCACGCCTCACCAGTACCACTCAAACCTCCTCCCGCTGCCTCTCACACAACCTGTCGCACCCGGTCAAAAGAATAGTTTGTCTAGATAGGGTTCACTACCCTTACTTCCGTTCTTCATGAGCACGAAAGTGTTTTCTATTAGGACAAGGAGTAGTGAGTCTTGTAAAGACTTTCATAACCTCTTTTATGCGCTTGCATACATTGAATAAAACTTGGATTTTATTTATAAAAAAAATTGTGGATCATGATTTTGCCATTTTATCTACTCACATTAGATCCAAAGATGGAAAAAACAAAGTAGAACATTCACTCCTTAGTTCAAAACTTTTCACTCAACAAGGAAAGCCTTTACTTTTGTAATGACGTAAAAATATATTTCTTCTCAAGTTCAAGGTACCAAACACCATGAAATAATAACACTTAGAAAAAGGTAATAAATAATATATTTTACCACAAAAGAAAAAGGCCAATTGCAGTAAACCCTTCTAACTTTTAGTCTCGATATTAATTTGCATAGTAACAATTATCTTTTAGGCACTTTGCTCCCCTTTATCAATCAAAGTCATGTTCAACTGTTAAATAATGTCCAAATTTCAAAAATTATTCTCACTTTCGACCATACAAAATATTTTAATTTAAGGTTTACCCTAAGAACTATGACTATAATTTCACTTTGTTCCCTAATGAATTATATTGACAATTTACTTTGCTATGTTAATTTTTTTCTCATTTTTATATTTTATTTCTTCTCTCTCTTCTTTTACCTTTTGTTAATATCTTTTCCCCACTCCCTCTCATCACTCTATTCTAAGCTATAATGTCATTATGAATGATTGGTTAACACAAGGCATAGGTTTTAGACATTTAGGGAAATGACCATTTTCCCTCACCTTTGAGATTTTGGTCAATTTAGTCCCTTATCTATTATCACAATCATTTTAGTCTCTTGTCTTTATAGAAAAACCAATCTAGAACCTCAAATGAAAAATTAAAAATTTCTAATAGAATTAGTGATGTGCACGGCGTGTGAAGCATTAAAAAGGACCATTTTGATCCATTATTTTCAAGGTCATGTCCGATTTTGTCCTTTCAGCAATTTAAACTCTCATTTTCACAAAATAAAGTCAATGTAGGACTTTAAATGGGAATTGAAAAACCCTAATGGAGTGGGTTTTGTACAAGTTTACATTTGAATAAAAGAATAGGAAAAATAAAAGCACATGTACATCCCAAATAATATGTGATGACATTTAAATGACAAAATTAGACATGACCCCGAAAATAATAGACCAAAAGTTACTTTTAATATTGCATATGCCGTGCATGTGATTAACCCTATTAGAACTTTTCAATTTTTCATTAGAGGTCCTAGATTGACATTTTTTTCTATAAAGATAAGCAACTAAAATATATGTGATAATAGATAAGGGACTAAATTACTCAAAACATCAAAGATTAGGTACCACATGGTCACCAAATGCCATTTTCCCATTATATATATATATATATACATTAGCTCATTTATTGCACAATGCTTATCACAGCTACAAATAGAACATCTTGCATACGCATTAAATTTTTACCCATTTTTTCACTTTGTAAGGGGGAGCTAATAAATTGCAAGTGCTTGACTATTAGTAGAATTCATTTTTTCCACCTCCTTAGATATCCAGTGTATAGGAAGGTTCCACACCGGAATCCATAGTGGGGCAATGTTGAATTCTGCATCCTCTTCCTCAAATCCTTCAAACCATTGTCTTAATACCAAGATATAATTGTCTATAATCCATGGACCTCCTTTTAGGATCCTATCCCTATCTTTCTCATTGGGATAGGTTCACTATGACCTATTTTTCCACATTTATAGCAAAAATCAGGGCCAAGACGGAGGGAGTTCTCGGGCCTCACAGGATTGATAGGTTCTCGGGCTTTAGTTTGAGTTTGAATCTGCAATTATGGAACGTCTAGGTCTTTGGAAATATTTTTAACAAAGTGAGGGAGGCCGAGGCTATTATGAAACAATGGGAGGAGCAATTTGACAATGGGAGGGATACAGCTTCCAGAGCAGCGTTGGAGGAGGCAAAGGCGGTTTATGTAAGGAGCTTGGCGTCTGAATGTGAGTATTGGAGACAGAAGGTGGGCATCAAATGGTTGCAGGTTAGGGATGCTAATTCGGCATATTTCCATTCTCGATGCCGTCAGCGCCGAATTTTAATTTTGTGGCCCGCATTAAAGACCAATCAGGAACATGGTTAGAGGATATACAAGACATAAGGCGGTCAGCGGTGGAGTTCTTTTCATCTTTGTTTGCATCTGAACAACATGGGTGGCACTCTCCGGGGCTTCCTTTTACGGTCCCTCAGCTGTCTGGGCGGACAATGACATGTTATCTGCTTTACCTGACATGGCAGAATTAAAGGAGGTCGTTTTTGCGTTGGAGGCAGACAGTGCTCCTGGACCAGATGGGTTTGGGGCAGGATTTTACCAGGTTTGTTGGGATATTATCAAGTCCGATTTATTGGAGGCGGTACAGGCTTTTTTCCAGGGTATGCGATTGCCCAGGAGTTTTACCATCACTTCTATTATTTTACTGCCTAAGATTGCGGGCGCCATGCAATGGAAGGACTTTCGGCCAATTAGTCTTTGCAACGTCTGTTCTAAAATTATTTCTAAGATCGTCTCTGATCGGTTGGGTAGGGTTCTTCCTACCTTAGTGTCACCGTGGTAGACTGGCTTTGTACCAGGACGGGGGATAACGGATAACATCCTTCTCACGCAGGAGCTGGTGGTAGATTTAGATAGGCGTTTGAGACACCCAAACCTCATGTTAAAGTTGGATATGGAAAAGGTGTATGACAGGGTCGAGTGGCCGTTTCTTTTGTTTATGCTTCAAAATTTTCGTTTTACGGAACAGGTGGTAGACATTTTCTTTCGACTGGTGTCTAATAATTGGTTTTCAGTGTTGGTGAATGGTGAGGTTGCTGGATTTTTTAAATCTTCAAGGGGTGTTCGGCAGGGTGACCCGGTTTCTCCTGGCCCTTTTGTGTTAGTTGCCGAATTTTTAGGTTGTGGGCTGCACCACCTTCTTGATAGTCAGTCGGGCAGGTATTTTGTTTCGGCAGGGACTCCGGTGCCCTACCTGGCTTTTGCGGATGACATGCTTATCTTTACAAGATGCTCAGAGGAGTGCCTGAACGCAATCAAGGCTTTTCTATCGGAGTATCAGGAAGCTTCAAGACAAAGGGTAAATGTCAACAAGAGTTCCTTCTTCTTGCCTTCAGGGGCTACTTCGGGGCAGGAGCAGTTGGTGACTAAGGTTCTGGGCTTTCACAGGCAACTTTTCCCATTCACTTATTTAGGTGCTCCTATATATAAAGGCCAGCGGCGGGGTGCCTTGTTTGATGGTATTGTTTCTAAAATGCGGGCCCACCTAGGACACTGGAGTACTAAGTTGCTCTCATTTGGGGGTAAGCTAGTCTTAGCACGGCATGTCCTAGCTTTGTTGCCTATGTACTTACTTCAGGTGTTGAATCCTCCAAAGGCTGTGCTCACACGTTTGGGCAAGATTTGTAATTCCTTTCTTTGGGATCATAAGGGCGAGAGGCGCATCCATTGGTCTTCCTGGGACAAGTTGTGCTTTCC